TAAATATGAACCAGTTGCCAAGCGTCGAAATTTTGATCATGTGATCGTGGGGACGCTGCAATGTTCGTAAATGTGAAAAAAGGTCGTGTCACTTTTTTCAGTGCCATTGTAAGTTGTAAGATCACCTTTAGTCAGCGAACAGTGAAATAATATTTTGTCTCATCCTTTCACTTATTTATTTCTGCCCATCCTCCACTACCACCATCACCACCACACACATTTTCCAGCCAGCAAGCAATTCTCACATCCTGCTAGGAGGCTGTAGCTACAATTTATAAACTTCTTTTGACTAAGGAGCAGAATATGGGCTACCTGTCTGGAGTGGGGGGGGGGGTTTCCCCTGGCCTAAATCACTTGATTTCTGGCTTAAATGAAGCAGGAAGCAAACTGAAGCATTGCCCATTCTGGCTTGCAATAGTTTCAGTGGACTAAGAAAAAGCCATAATTAGTCCACGGAGGGTAAAAAAAACAGAAGGTAATTTTTTTCCCGAGACAGAGAGCAATGTGTGTCTCTGCCCCAAAGAGATATGATAGTGTCCTCCCTGCCTTTTAGGCTGCAAGCTTGGTCTGAAATCCCCAGAGAGTTTTGTGGCACTTAAAAGACTTAGAGGTTTATTTTACAGGAGATTTTGAGGATAACATTTTGCTTCATTACCGAGGGGAGGGAAAAAATAACGGTATGTCAGAAACATGAGACTTACAACCATTAGTTTACTGACCATTTGAAGTTACATCAGTAATGAAAAAAGTGACATATGTTCGGTTTTCACATTTGTGACCATTGCAGCACCCCCATGGTCACATCAAAATCTGGGCGCTTGGCAACTGACTCGTATTTGTGACAGTTGCACTGTTCTGGGGTCATGTGATCCCCATTGGTAATCTTCCCAGCCGACTTTCAACAAGCAAAGCCAATGGGGGGGGAAGCAAAATTCGTTCAATGACCACGTGATTCACTTAACTGCAGTGATTTGCTTAACAACTGTGGCAAAAAGGATCATAAAATGGGGCAAAATTCACTTAACAACTGCTCAGTTGTGCTCATAAGTCAAGGACTACCTGTATAGATAAAACCTGTGCTGCTAAATTAAACTTTCAATATGTCTAATATATGTCAGTATTCGAAGTACATTTTTGAATAAATGTATAAATGTGTATTAGTTTACTCGCATGAATAAATACGACATTCAGTGAAACTTTATGCCAGTCTTACAGTCATGAACAGATTGTTCATCTGCAACAGGTCACCTTATAAGCCCAAGAGCAAAATGGAATGGACACCTGCCAATAAATTAAGGAAGAGAAGCCAACAAAATTAATTAGAAACATAAATAGCTGAAATCTTAGTTATAAATAAGCTGCTCCTGGAAAAGGTTCATTAGTTAAACATTGTGCACATTTATATTCATTATAGGGCTTTATCCATATTGGACAAATTAAAAGCTGTTTTGCAGATTACATATTTGATTCTGTATCATCTGGCACAGTTTTCTAGAGCTTGGCTAAACAGATCATCTTTTTATAAAACTGAATATACGGAACAGTTTAAACTTGGAGTTACTGGCATTAGGATGATCTATTCAACATATTTTGAGTCTTCTATTAAGATTATGTATGTATGTATGTATGTATGTCCTTGATAACTGCAAAGATGCAAATCTCGGGCATATCTGTTCAATAACACAATCCTCAATCTCCGGGAGAGGTATAAACCAGTTGTTTATTGCTAAAAAGATATTTAAAAACAATAAAAACAACTATTTACAATGTTAAAGGAAACAACTTAGCTTTCGCTGGTCCCCTGCCAGCGTCCTCAGAGTAAAGCTTAGGGGGTGGGGAGATTCTTTTTATAAACCTTGCTGGCCTAACTGCTTACTCATTGCCCGTGTGATAGGGCCATCCCTCCTAGTTAACCATAATTGCCTTGATTGTCCCGCCTCCTCTTTTTTGCACTCCAATTCCACACCTTTCCCCCCTCCCATCCTTGTCAATCTCCTCCCTCCCAGCACCATTGCTGCCGGTGTGCTCTCTAACCGCTCCCTCCTGCTCATTCCAGGCTGCGCATTCAGATCCAGTGTTCCAAAAGGCTTGCCATCAATGCTCCCTTCCTTTCTATCCCGTTGGTCTACATGCTGTTCCTGCCTTCCGTCATCCATCCCTGTCAGTCTTTTTTTTCTCCGATTTCCTTCTACACCCGGGTGTGCGTGCGCTCCATCGTGCCTCATCCCTCTGCTCCGTCTGCCCATGACCGGTGGCCAAGCATTGAAAAAATGGGAACAGTTTTGGCATGGTCTTCATTATATACTAATGTTCAGAGCATGAGAAGATTAACATGAACTCCAAGTTCAGAGAGACAATTATGGTTTAATAAATATGGTCACATGTCTTCCTTAATTAAAATAAAGCAGTTGAAGGATATAATTTATTCACAAGGAATAAATTAAGCAATAGAAGGGAAACAGATGTTGCATTCTATGTCAGAAATACATATACCTGCTCAGTAATCCAAATGAATGAACTTGATGCTGTAGAATGCATCCGTCTTAAATCGCTCCCTTTTTACGACCCTGTAATCCCTTAATTTGGGGTAGAGTCTGGGCAGCTGGATGGAGCTGAGCAGATAACTTTCCTGATGCCATGTGGAGTTCGCAAAATCAATAATGTAGTTGTATACTATCATCCACCTAACAAAACAGAAGATATGAATGTATTAGCCCTGAGAGACAGGCCTGTTCAGGAAACAGACATTGCAAACACCACAGGGACACTACTCTGTTGTTATAGGGTGTAATGACAGAATATTGAAAACCTGTCAGAGTGTCCCTTTGCCCCTATTTATACCGAACCGGACAAGGCAAGGTTGTTCTGTGTTTATTTTTCACACTTTCCTGTTTCTAAGGACATTTATATATCTTTGTTAAGGTCATCTCCAAATTCCTATACAGAATCAGGCTTTCCAGAAGGAATCTGCAGATCTTCCAAAGAAGCATAGAGTAGTAGTGATTGGAGGTATTAATTACTGTCAGTTTCTATTGAGAAGTGAGTTTTGCCCCATGTTATGACCTTGCCATAAACCTTGCAGGGCAGCTTACCAAACATCCAGACCCCAGTTTCTTATTCAAAAGACCACTTCTTGATAAGACTATTAAACAGTCCAGAAAAATACCAACATCAATGATATCAGAAGCTGCCTGGCAGAGTCACTTCATAGTTTTTGGATTAAGTCATTCATTAAGGCAATCAAAGTAGCTTCAATACGATATCCCAGCTGAAATCTCAAAGAAAATGGATTCACATAATCGCACCATTGAGATGCACCTGGAGCTCTGAAGCTAGCTGGTTCATGCTATTTTTGGGGGGAATGAAATCTGATTTTACAGTTTTCCTGAATCTTCATCAAAGGTCTTATTACATCTAGGGAGGACTAGGGAGCCAACACATTTCTCTTGTAATGAAACTTGTTCATCTCCGTTAACCTGATAGATTTGATGTGTCCACATTCTAATTATTCCATTGGCTTGCTCCATTTTGCTTTTTTCTCCTCAAAATTCCATTGCATGGGAATCTTCATTGGCTACATTGGCTCTCACTCCTGCTTAAAGGATTGTCTATGGAGATTCTCAGTCATCCAGGTCATGGTTGTCCCAAAGGTGCTTTTTCAAAAGGCACCTGGACTTCCTTTGTTTTTCTTTGAAGAAGTTTCACTTCTCATCCAAGAAGCTTCTTTAGTTCTGACTGAATGGAGGACAATGGAAGGATTTATATTCCTTACAGTCATCTGGTCATTAGCACTCTTTCTGTGAGTCATTGAGGCCACTTGGAGGTTTATCTGTGCTCGCAGGGTCATCTGAAGAGTGCAAATGGGTGTGGAGCCTTCTTGGAACTGCTGAAAGGACTGTGTTGTAAACAGGAGATAGTGGTGTCATAGCTTTTCCCTTCTGTTGAGAGAGGGTTGTTCAATCTTAATGAAGATGGCCTCTTTGACCCTTCTTTCAAACCAGCGGTCCTTTCTGTCCAGAATGTGGACTTCGCTTGTTCTCCTATGTTGTGCCATGCGTTTAAAGGATTATTTTTCTAACTACTTTTTCTATTTTTCCAATAAGCTGTCCCAAGAATACTGCTACCTACCAACTGGTAACTTTTAGACTAAGAAAGAGCACTTTTAGCTTAGATATCCAAAATAAAGAAAAATATTCTGATTGCTAAGACTTGTCTGAAATTGTTTATCAGAAGGAGAAAAGCAAGCAATAGGAATTGCTAACATGATGAAAAAGGGAACTTAGTAAACTTATAAGTCTAAAACTTTACATTCTGGTAGAACAAATTTTTTCAGTTATGAAATTAGAAATTTAGCTAGTTTGAAATTTTTGGAAACAGGAAACAGCATATTAGGAGACAAAACTCTGACTAAAGCCTGTTAGTGATGTTCAAGCATTATTGGAGAACAGCTTAAATGGCAGTAAGCATGTGGGTTTCATGCTTGGAAGTAGGGGATCAGAAGAGGAAACTGACATGTTAATGTTTTGGATCTATTTTTAAACAAAGCCCATATGATATTACAGATGCATTTTTAGAAAATGAAAACATATAATGATTTTCCTTTTTAGAGATGCAATAGCATTTTCCAAGATTACACAGGCTGAAGGGAGCTGGGGGAAAAAACATGATTATTGAAGGCTTGTGGTTTCTCAATTCATGTAAATTGAATTCTTTCGTAACTTTGAAATGCTATGGAAATCAAGTGAAGAGTGCATAGTGTTGAAATAAAATTAACATGTAAAGTGATTTTATGTATTCAGCTTGAAGCGACTATGAATTTGAGAGAGAAATCTCATTACTTATCTTGTAGAAGGATAATATTTAACTTCTCCATTTGCTGTCCTTGATATAAAGCTTTTACATGTGAATGATGGTTTTCTGTGGCTGCCCAGAGAGAAAGATTTTTGAATTGATGGAGATCAATTTCTGTCGTCTCTGTTCTCACCTTTTTTCTCTTGCAGGATAACTGATTTAGGAAATATTAAAAGAAGATTGTATTTATCGACGATTCACAAAGAATTGTCTGTAACCCCTCTGCATGCAAAAATCCCTCTCTTTATGATCAAACGCAAAATTGTAAGTATATTTCCTTCCTTGTTCAAATGATTATTATCATGTATGACTCTCTTCTACTTTCTATTACAATGCTTAAATATTTGGTCATTCCTACCAGTGATCCCAGCATATCAGGATGACAAGAAATTGTCTTTCTGGTTAATTTCACATATTTCTTCAGAATTAATAGTACAGCAATGCACACAATGTAGTACAAACTGGATCATCATTAGACACTTCTGCGGCATGAAGATTAAGTAGATTCGTGGAACACGAGATCAGTCATGAATCATACAATCATACTGACATGAATCATACTGACAATTTCCAGGTGCTGTTTGTTCTGCCCATTCAGTGGATGAGAACCAAAACACAATTTCCTGCCAAGTATTGCAATAATGCTTTCTTATTAATTCTGTGTGCATAACACCTTAACTGCTTGATTTAAGTAAAAAGATATGATAGAAATTAAATAAAAAACATAGAACAAGGTATGCCAAATATTATGAGAATTAGTAGAAATGATCCTGCACTATGACAATTTGGTTATCTCTGCAATTACATCACTGGCAATTAATTCCAGCTAGAACTAATGCATTTCTAAGAATGGTTCCAGATTTCTGTTTGAACTTTTTTTTTGGGGGGGGGGGGTAAGGAAAACAAAATAGAGTTCTTAGATTCATGTATATAGGGAAATAATCTTCAGATTTAATTTACAAACTTAAGATATCCTGGAAATATGTAGGGGTGTGGGTCTATACATATGTTGTATATAGTATGTTTTTAGGGTGTGTCATGTATGTGTTTCACTTTGAGAGCGGGCAACTAAATTTCATTTTTAATGTATGCTGTTGTGCCCACAGTAAAAAAATGACAATAAAGGTTATCTATCTATCTATCTGTCTGTCTATCTATCTATCTATCTATCTATCTATCTATCTATCTATCTATCTATCTATCTATCTATATCATGCATTTCATTTCATTCAAGCAATCTGTAGTAAAAACAGCTAGTACTTACTTAGTGACTGCAGTTGGTCCAGCAAATTGGTTGCTAAGCAGCACAGTTACTGAATGAAACATTACAGGACCATAACAGGCTTATAACATCACTTCCACTGGGGTCAGTTTCTCTTGGATGCATTATGTCATTAATTATCATATCCCTTGTTGATGGTATCCATGTTTTTGGATATCCGGATATTCGGATATCATGTTTTTTGGATAGTTTAATGAAGAGAAGGACTAGGGATGACACAATAGCAGTATTCCAATAACTCAGGGGTTGCCACAAAGAAGAGGGAGTCAAGCTGTTCTCCAAAGTGCCTGAAGGCAGGACAAGAAGCAACAGATGGAAACTAACCAAAGAGAGAAGCAACCTAGAACTAAGGAGAAATTTCCTGACAGTTAGAAAAATTAACCAGTAGAACAACCTGCCTCCAGAAGCAGTGAATGCTCCAACACTGGAAGTTTTTAAGAAAAGACTGGACAGCCATTTGTCTGAAAAGGTGTAGGGTTTCCTGCCTGAACAGGGGGTTGGACTAGATGACCTCCAAGGTCCCTGCCAACTACTATTTCTTCTTCTTCTTCTTCTTCTTCTTCTTCTTCTTCTTCTTCTTCTTCTTCTTCTTCTTCTTCTTCTTCTTCTTCTTCTTCTTCTTCTTCTTATTATTATTATTATTATTATTATTATTATTATTATTATTATTATTATTATTATTATTATTATTATTATTATTATTATTATTATTATTATTATTATTATTATTATTANACTCTCTTCTACTTTCTATTACAATGCTTAAATATTTGGTCATTCCTACCAGTGATCCCAGCATATCAGGATGACAAGAAATTGTCTTTCTGGTTAATTTCACATATTTCTTCAGAATTAATAGTACAGCAATGCACACAATGTAGTACAAACTGGATCATCATTAGACACTTCTGCGGCATGAAGATTAAGTAGATTCATGGAACACGAGATCAGTCATGAATCATACAATCATACTGACATGAATCATACTGACAATTTCCAGGTGCTGTTTGTTCTGCCCATTCAGTGGATGAGAACCAAAACACAATTTCCTGCCAAGCATTGCAATAATGCTTTCTTATTAATTCTGTGTGCATAACACCTTAACTGCTTGATTTAAGTAAAAAGATATGATAGAAATTAAATAAAAAACATAGAACAAGGTATGCCAAATATTATGAGAATTAGGAGAAATGATCCTGCACTATGACAATTTGGTTATCTCTGCAATTACATCACTGGCAATTAATTCCAGCTAGAACTAATGCATTTCTAAGAATGGTTCCAGATTTCTGTGTGAACTTTTTTTTGGGGGGGGGGTAAGGAAAACAAAATAGAGTTCTTAGATTCATGTATATAGGGAAATAATCTTCAGATTTAATTTACAAAATTAAGATATCCTGGAAATATGTAGGGGTGTGGGTCTATACATATGTTGTATATAGTATGTTTTTAGGGTGTGTCATGTATGTGTTTCACTTTGAGAGCGGGCAACTAAATTTCATTTTTAATGTATGCTGTTGTGCCCACAGTAAAAAAATGACAATAAAGGTTATCTATCTATCTATCTATCTATCTATCTATCTATCTATCTATCTATCTATCTATCTATCTATCTATCTATCTCATGCATTTCATTTCATTCAAGCAATCTGTAGTAAAAACAGCTAGTACTTACTTAGTGACTGCAGTTGGTCCAGCAAATTGGTTGCTAAGCAGCACAGTTACTGAATGAAACATTACAGGACCACAACAGGCTTATAACATCACTTCCACTGGGGTCAGTTTCTCTTGGATGCATTATGTCATTAATTATCATATCCCTTGTTGATGGTATCCATGTTTTTGGATATCCGGATATTCGGATATCATGTTTTTCGGATAGTTTAATGAAGAGAAGGACTAGGGATGACACAATAGCAGTATTCCAATAACTCAGGGGTTGCCACAAAGAAGAGGGAGTCAAGCTGTTCTCAAAAGTGCCTGAAGGCAGGACAAGAAGCAACGGATGGAAACTAACCAAAGAGAGAAGCAACCTAGAACTAAGGAGAAATTTCCTGACAGTTAGAAAAATTAACCAGTGGAACAACCTGCCTCCAGAAGCAGTGAATGCTCCAACACTGGAAGTTTTTAAGAAAAGACTGGACAGCCATTTGTCTGAAAAGGTGTAGGGTTTCCTGCCTGAACAGGGGGTTGGACTAAATGACCTCCAAGGTCCCTGCCAACTACTACTACTACTACTACTACTACTACTACTACTACTTATTATTATTATTATTATTATTATTATTATTATTATTATTATTATTATTATTATTATTATTATTATTATCCTTAAACACAAATCAAATATGAATATGTGTGTTATATAATCCCCCAAACTATTTACATACGCAGTGTTTTCTTGCAGAGGTAATTTGGGGATATTGTTTTCTTCTTAAAGGAAAAAAACATCCAGGAATAAGAATAGCTCTTTGTTTTTTAAAAATTGAAATTGGTATGTTTTATGCATCTCTTAGAAATGTTATCAAATTAATAAAATGACTAATTTTTTACCTCTTTTCTACAGTCAGTTAGAAGTCAGAAATTAATTTAGCTATGTTTTTAATTTTTACTGCAGATTTTGTTCTGAATTAATCCTATACAATATAAATATGTCCCTTCATTTCACTCATAACAGTTTCCTTTTTGTACTCAAAAAGCAAAAGCAAACATTTTAGTCCTTGCCTTTATATATTTTTGTCCCAGCCAGTGAAATCTGTTGAGGTTTAAAGCTATGACAATAATAAATAATGATCCAGGAAGATGAATTTCTGTGCTCCTAATAGTTCTCTTTCTGAAAACCAGGGGGAAGGTGAAACGAACAAATAAACAAAATGCTCCAACAAATGTATTGATTTTTGCTACTGGAACCCTTCCCCCCCCCCATTAAACTATTAATAGGGGGCAAACATCCTCGGAATAAAACATTATATACTGTAAATACTGTAACTTATATTTTACTTCTCTAAAATAAATTGGAATGTACTTCTGAAACACATTAAATTAATTGTTTCAGTTTCGATTCCTGCAGCTTATAATGTATGTTGATTAACTACAGAGGCCAGATTTAAAAAATATAAAAGCATACTCTAGGTTGGGGTTTTCAAATTTTGTGGTACTTAACTACCTGAAAAGAATACATGTGAGCCTCCTATGAATAGAAGAAATTAGCTTCTTGTTGATCCTAGTGAGTGTGCCAGGTATCAGTTTAATATGAGACTCTAGAAAGAGTACAGAGAAGAGCAACAAAGACGATTAGGGGATTGGAGGCTAAAACATATAAAGAACGGTTGCATGAATTGGGTATGTCTAGTTTAATGAAGAGAAGGACGAGGGGGAACATGATAGCAGGGTTCCAATATCTCAGGGGCTGCCACAAAGAAGATGGTGTCAAGCTGTTTTCCAAAGCACCTGAAGGCAGGACAAGAAGCAACGGATGGAAACTAAGCAAGGAGAGAAGCAACCTAGAACTAAGGAGAAACATCCTGACAGTTAGAACAATTAATCAGTGGAACAACCTGCCTCCAGAAGCTGTGAATGCTCCAACACTGGAAGTTTTTAAGAAGAGACTGGACAGCCATTTGTCTGAAATGGTATAGGGTTTCCTGCCTGAGCAGGGGGTTGGACTAGATGACCTCCAAGGTCCCTTCCAACATCATCATCATTATCATCATCATCATCACCATCACCATCACCATCATCAAATGGATTCCTTATTACATTGCTTTTCATCTTTATACATGCCATGCCAGGGCCCTATCGGAACTTGGACTCACTATTGTTGTGCCCAAACGAAGTAGGACTGAGTTCTGGCATTAAACCAGGTTTGTCTATACACCTTAAAATCAGATCATTTATAGAATTCTGGCTTGCACAAATAAAACTGGATCACCACATGGAGGTGCACAACTGCCATGTCCAACATTCCAATTTGGGAATATTGCTTAAGACTGGCTGAAACTGTGCCATGCAAAAGATGATATAAAATCTAAATTAGGGTCTTCTAATTCAAGTGATAAAGTGATCTAATTCCTTTAGATCTGGGGTGTCAAATTCCCGGCCCATGGGCCGGATGTGTCATGGCGAAACCGCACCCACCCCATTGCCAGCAATGGAAAAAAGTTGCAATACATCGTGACATGTCACGTGATGTTGCGAGTTTGATACCCCCGCTTTAGATGAAGGAAGGAAGAAGAAAAGTAATCACTGGCTACAATGAGTGCCATATATATAATTTTCCCTTCCCGTGCACTTTTAACACTTAATTTTATAGAAACACATTTATGAGAGGTTAAACACAAGATCTGATACTGGTCAAGGTATCAATTCATAAATAAGTCAGTATATGTGGGCCGGGTACAGCCAAAGGGCAAAATATCTTTATTATCTTAATGTATCCTTCATAAGAGCAGTGTTTGTAATGCAGTATTGCAGCCTAATTCTGCCAGCAGTTCAATTCTATCTGACTCAAGGTTGACTCAGCTTTTGATCCTTGCAAGGGCGATAAAATGAGGACCTAGCTTGTTGGGGGCAATAAGCTGACTCTGTAAACTGCTTAGAGAGGGCTGTAAAGAACTACAAAGCAGCAGGGCTTTTTTTTGTCATAGAAGGCCCAGAACGGAGTTCCGGCACCTTTTTTGAATGGAACCTTGTAGGGTAGGCAAGGAGGATTGTATGACGTGTGTGAGTTCCGGCACCTTTTTCTTTTACAAAAAAAGCACTGCAAAGCAGTATATAAATCTAAGTGCTATTGCTAATACTATTATGGTATGAATATTACCTAAAAACTACCTAAAACTAAATCTATCTTAAAACAAATAGTTCCCTTCCTTTAAAGCAAAGTACAGCTGAATCTTGTGGATTGGAAACCTCCAGGAAAAACTAAAATTGTAGGTAAAACTGAGAAACTGGGGGGGAAAAACCCAAAAAGTAGATATTGACAAGCCACTTACTCATTGGAGTGAAGAAAAATACATATATGTGTTCACAAAGTCACCAAGAGTCAGTCTTACCTTGAAGGAGAATTGGTTTTAATTACATCCTGAGGAGAAATCTTACACAGAAAAAAAACAGATAATCTAAGAATTGTATTAAGTTCATGCATATGTTCATATATTTGATTATTGGCTTGACCTCATCATTTTGACAGATTCTTGAAAGATGTATTCAGACCATCCCTATAGCCATTATAGCCATTGAGAGAACACTGATGGCATTGCATTTTCTCTGAGTCAAGGACGAAGATAATTGGGAACATCTGATACATCAATGTATCTATTGGAAACATTTGGAGTCATGGCATAAGCGATCACCAGACCCTTTTAGACGTGGTCGGTTATTTAAAAATGATAGAAAAATTAGCCTCTTCTGTCAAATAAGTGGAGTTTCAGCGGAGCACATCAGTAAGAACAATGGCACACAGACGTTTATAGTAATCTAGGAAAATACCTTGGGGATTATGATCAATGAACCCAAATGGTCCCTTAAAACCTCATTGGAGGAGTTGGCAAACCAATTATTAAAATAACATTTCACTGATGTGGAATTTCTACATTATTATGTAACCTATAGCTCTAGATCCACAATTACCATTACTTTGCAGGGCAGGACACGTGGCATATTCGGAATAAATGAATTTCAGATATCATAGCTGACACACATAACTTGGTTGATTTGAAGAACCTGATAGTAAGCCATCTCAGAATGGCCTTGTAGTAAGCAGCTGTAGGAAAATGAGCTCAAATTTCACCAAAAATAATCAGTTCCAAAATAATTAGCTTTTAAAAAAATACCTGAACAACTAAGACATCAACCTTAAATTAAATTACTTAATTGAATTGAATTACATAGATACCAGTGAATTATCCTCTTTTTTTCCTGCATGATATCAAATTCATTATGTACTTGGTGCTATTTAGAGGCAGATGAGACCGGACTGGCATATAAGCCAAGCAATAAATACAATTGGTTTTTAATAGTGTATTTTATTGAAAATTAGTTTTACAAATATCTCTCTAAACTCTTTTTTTCTCTTCTTAGTGGTGCAATTTGTGCATTGACTTGGTGGCATTTACCAGTGAGATATTCAAAGGCGCTGTTTTTCAGTCTTTGGATGGCATTATTGTTTCAGCCAATTGTAAACTGCGAAAAATCTTCACATTGAAGTCAACCCCCCTGAACGCCGCAGATGACGATGGTACGTTAACTTGACTTCCTGGAATTCCAAATGGCTAAGATGTGCTTCCTGATTCCAGACTTATTTTTCTGATCTCTGTGATGCATTATCTAAAGGGTTTCAGATGGTTTCCTGGCAATTAATGGGTACATAAGACATCCTATGCACGTTTCTGGCTCGTGGATAGTCAGTGACCTTTTCTAAATGTGGTTACAATTGTGGTTCAGCATTTACATTTTTATAAAGCAGCACTTTTATTAAAACTGCACAGAAGATACTTTTTCAACTTTAAATTAGCATACAAACTGCTAATAATCTACCTTCAGGTAAGTGTTTCATTAAACACTTTGAAAGAAAGCTTGTTATTCAATTATCAAAGGTTTTTTTTTTACTGAGTTATGTCATTTTTTCAAGGCAGCTTCTAAAATGAAAGTGCAAAGACTTCCCTTGTAAAATCTGGCCATTATGGAAATTGGACTTTTGAGAAAGGAAAAGAGTTGATGATAAATTGCACATTAAGTATCTTCCTAATAAAGTATATTCATGAATTCGTATTATTCATCAGCTGCATATTTTATTTGAACTGTACACCATCTCCTAGACTAAACAATAGAAAACATTGTTTCCATCCTTCAGCTCTGCTTATCAAACTTTGCGTTGTATATCATCCAGTTGATCCTTTCTTACTTCATTGCTTTCTACCCAGACACTTCAAATGTGCTCTACAAAAAAAAAAAAGCAATAAAAGGTTCTGGGAAGCAATAATTAAAAAGCTTCTTTTAGTTTTGTTATATAATGCGAATGTTTTGTGGCTTTTCTGAGTCTCCTTGCTTTGCTTCATGTATCCTTTTTTATGCTGACTTGTGTGGCTCACCCAAAACTATTACTCCCTGTTTATTGCACTATATTCCGAAATAGAATAGAATAGAATAGAATAGAATAGAATAGAATAGAATAGAATAGAATAGAATAGAATAGGACCTTGGAGATCTTTTAGTCCAACCCCCTACCTTGCTTTAATATAACACTTCCTGCTTTATTAGGATTTATGCAAGAATATTTCCTTAGGGTAGTATGTCAGGCCCCAATAAGCAAGGTTTGGCATATTCTCACTTCCATCCAGCCACCTGTTCCATTTTTTTTTTTGCCAGAGTCCAAATTCCAGAGAACCTTTTTATCTATTTGTTTTGCCATCTACTTCTTATTTTGCTTCTTTTTGCATGCTTCCTCTTAAAAGCATTTCTTCTCTGGTCCATGAGATGTAAGGACTGTGACTGCTTTAGGAGTTGTATTTGACTCATAGCTCCCAGCAACATTACTTGAGGAACTTTATGAAATAGGCTTCAGCTTTCTAAGGCAGTATCTCGGTTTTCTTTTGGATACAGTACCCATCCTGCCCACCCCTAGGTCAGGAATTATTAAATGATACTCATTTTCTTCAGGAAACAAAATGCGGAAGGTTTTTTGGATAAGCAGGATAAATATGTATATAAACTAGGGAGGCAAGCCTTAGTTTTAGTGAAGAAAACCAGCCTGATATGTCCTGAGCATTCATACCAAACAGGAATTGGAGAGGAAAGCACAATTGTGCCTAGTTATTTTTACAAAAGCAGTGAACAGAAAATTTGTCTCGTTTAGAAGCAATAGAGGCTAATTATTTCACCTCAAAGTGGAAAATTTTCTACTCATTTTAATCAGGTTTAAAACAGTAAGGCTGAGCCTTTGGGGTGAATCACAGAATTGGGAATCAGATGGATGTCAACTTCTTTCTGGATATTTTTCTGGAGACTGAACTATATCCTCCTCACATTTTGTTTCAGCTTTTTCACTTGTTATTAAACTAGGACATTGGTATGCTTTCTGATACAACATGATTGGCAGATTTCTCAGTTATTCCTAGAGTCTTCCCCTTTTTCCATTTGGATTTTTTCCCCCTTAATGTAACTAATTGTGTACAGCAACATGAAACAGTTCTTTGTTCTTTGCAGTAATGTCCTTCTCCATTACTGATAATCAGCATTCCTCTCGGCTTGTCATATAGCATGTGCTTCTAGCACACTGGTTTTGTATGGTCAGGACAAGCCCCTATATGCTTAAAATATTCTTTGTAGAGGAAGCAGATTGCACTATTTACTTGTATGGGTTAGATTTAGTGAGCAAAGAACAAAGACTTCATATTCATATAATTTTAGTGCCAAGGATGTTGGGTTCATTCTGATATTAAGAGGAACTGCAATTGATGTTTTTCACATTAATAAATGGAACAGCATAGAAGCAATATAGAACAGATAAAAACTAGGCCAAAGTATTTGAGTACTCCAAATATATTGATCTCACTGAACTTATTTACAAGAGGAGCTTCATGCATAGCATAACTGCTTTAGAGATCACAGAACAATCTGTACAATCTAAATTGTGAGACCAGCTAATTGCTGAGTATTCTTAATTGCAAAATTCCTCTACCCTGAAATCTAATTAATTCTTATCTGCAGACATAAATTATTTTAAGAGTAGGCTAAAAGCAATCATGCATATACAATTAGGCTCTCCAGAAAGGACACACAGCTGGTGACTAGTTGTAGGTTTATACAACTGAAAAGATTAAGATCATTGTCTTGACCAACCATTCTAACAAGATAGAAATTAATTATCAGTTCCCACAGTGCACAGTATGCAATTCCATAGCTGACGCAACCTCCCAAAGCCAGGGGCATTGCCCTCTAAAATGTATTGTTGAACTGTAATTTTGAACCTGTCGAAAAGGGAAAATAGTTTAATGTAATCAGTATGATCATATTAACACTGTTTGGAGTATGTTGAATTGTTAAAGATCAGATTTTAATTTGCATTTCCATGAGTTGAATTTATTTGAATTTTCAGTTTGAATCATCAGTTCAGATCATTTATTTGACTTGATTAAAAAAAGTGTGTTTGCAGGTATAAAAGTCCATTTAATCTTAACATGGATTCAGAAGAGTCTGATTTGATTTGATGCCTTGAATTAAATTGAAAGTTTCAAATTGAAAGAGTGATTTGATCAAATTGCCTTGAATTTGAAGTTTTACGTAGTCTTCAGCTTGTTCCCGTGCTATCAGAAGTTTTACCTTGTTTACTTACTTATAGTTAGCTATATTAGTCAGGTTTTAAAGCAGGATCTCCTACAATTAAATTCCATTCTGTTCTCTCTATATAAGCATGTATATATTTACATGAATTAGTTCCCTTTAGCCTAAAGCTTTCCTCTCAGCCTCATCCCTCTGCACTCATCCCAAAACTTATTTAGTGCATCAGGTTCTTCACATGAACCTCTCTGATTTTTTTTTAAAGTTAACATCAAAATGTTTTTATTGGCAAAGAAAGAATTAAGATTGAGATATAATAGTCTCAGTATCCTTTTTGATGTTGGGAGCTGTGGCACATCATTTAACAACTAAACCCTTCTCTTCAGGTAAAGTAAAGATGATGTCTGGTGCTGCTAATTTCTAATCTATAAATAATGAGTCTTGTCCAAAAGAAATCATGGCTTCAAACGGTACTGAAATTGAACAGATGTGTGGACTTTTTTTTCTTTGCTTTCTGATCCTTGAGACTGCTGCAAGTTTCTTTTCATCATATAAATACAGGAATCAAAACAGTTCTAGTAAGTATCTCCAGTGCTGTCATTAGTTTTGGTTCTTTGTTCAGATAGTCAGAATGAGAAGGTGAAGTCTTTTTGCTATGTTTTATTCAGATTGTACTAATCTTCTGTTACAGCTGATGGACCAAGAGATACGATTCCTCGAGCCTGTCAATTAAATGCAGATGTGCAGCAAGTCACACAGCTGCTAAACATGAAGAAACTGCGCCAAACAGAACAAAGATGTAGAGGCCAGCCTTTAAATTCACCAGAATTAGGTACTCTTAATGATTAATATTTCTTTATTATATCTGTTTGGGCCAAGGACTTTTATTCAAGTGATATTGCCTGTATTCACACATAGTATTAAGCCATAACATGCCATACTTGTTTTCATTTAGTTTTTGTAGAAACCCAGATATTGTGAATTATTCAACAAGCAAGAACAGTATTTAACCCATTCATACTCTTCAAGGTAGATGCATATCATCCAGTCTCAGAGTCTGTAGCATTTATTGCTAATTTTATTAGTAGTTTTAACCTTTACAACAACCCAAATATTTTTACCTAAATGGCCTACATTCCTATCTAAAAGTGGGAATGGATGGATGAGTTAATATATTACCACTTGTGTAGAACATTGATTGCAAGTGGGTCTATTAGACCAGGGGTCTCAACCCCTGGTCCGTGGACCAGTACCGGGCCATGGCATGCCAGCAACCGGTCTGCACAAACAAGCAAAGCCCCATCCATGAGATGCAGGCAGCACATAAAACTACGCACCCTCCGGTCCGCGGAAAAACCTCTCTCCACGGAACCAGTCCCTGGTGCCCGAAAGGTTGGGTACCTCTGTTTTAGACTATCTCTCTGGAAGTAAATGACAGCCATTCGCATATGTGAGGAATGAATGAGTTTATAGAGATTAGTACAGGTTGCCCTCATTTTGTGACTTCCATTGATTCTGGTGACTCTGTCTTTAACAATATGATTACTAAATAAGCAGGTGAGTAAGAGAAAAATACTGTGAAGATCACTGGTTGTTCCCTTCTCATTCAGATAAAGTTTCCTCATACAGTATTCCGTGACTAACACAGTTTTTGCTCCCTGGTAGGGTGAAGAGATTTCCTAAACAAGTTATCTCTTTCTGAGCTGCTTTTCTCCAGAGTACAGAGCTTCTGTAAACAGTCCAATTGCAAGTTAAATAAACTCAGGTCTGGGAGCTTCATTAGTTGATTAGAATCCTTGGGTTGGCTTGCAGCTGCTCCCTGAAACTTACCAGACCTTAATCAGTTTCACACTGAAGACTTTTGTTGTCATAAATGCCCACAGAAAATGAATTTTTTATTACCTTGGTATCTATGATCTCTGTCCAAGGTAGTAATTAAACAAGGACTGCTTGTAAACCTTTTCATCTTGTCAACTTCACTAGTAGGGTGAATAGGGATATGGGAATTATTAGTTGTCCCTGTATCTGACTTCCAAATCATCAGGATGATTATCACTTGCAGAATCTCACTGTGTCGTCTTTCAGTCTGAATTTAGAATCCATATCTTGGATATGGCATAATGTGAAGTTTGTAACTGCTTTTGAGAAAGAGACAGATGTATAACTTTTGATCAGAGTGTGATCAAAGAATTACTTGCCAATGAAGTTGTTTCATAAAATATGTTCTTATGGTATTGCTACAAAATCTGGCTAATCTTTAAGAATGAGGCTATTGCAAGGTCATGCCTCTATATGAATAATCTTATGAGAGGTGCAGTCAGGGATGGCGACATGGAATGCTGTTGGGATGCAACAGATTATCATTGGCATTAGGGGATTCTGGATGGAGAATTGCGGCTGTTGGACTGATTTGGAAACAGAAGTCCAGCAGAGTATAAGGTTATTAAAATCAATTTTCCTTAGGAATATACCCTTTGAAAAGCTGAATAATTCTAAGCTCCACATTAAATTTTGCTTTCTTTAAAGCAAAACAAAATTTGAAAAATGTGTGCTCTTCCATCAAAATACTTTGTTGCCAAAAAAAAAAAGATCTTTGCCTGTGAAACCATACACCAAAATATTAATAAGAATTGCAACAAAATTAAAAAAGGGAATTAATTTAATTTAGAATATTATGAAACTCCTTCTATATCTAATGTAATTGGGGAAAGGGGTAATAGAGTTCATTTAATTTTAATTAATTTAATTTAATAAATTAATCAATTTAATTAATTTTAATTAATAGTATAATTATATTTTAATTTTATTTCATCCTCTATATGATAAGCCATATTCAACTTTAATTTTACAAGACAGTTTATTTTGTGTTTGAATAAAAATTCAGAGTACTGTATTTCTAGGAATTTCAGTGCAATTTATTTTAAAGTTCAAGAACAAATGATGCATGGCATAATGTAGAGAAGAAAGATAGCCAAACTGATTACAGGTGCATTGGCATGGATTCCTTGAAAACATTTAATAGCACTATTACTATTTTTTAATACCACTATTAACATTTTTAATTCTGATGTAAAATTATCTGGGTGATTCTATTTAAATGCGCTTTAGTGGATGTGCTTTAATACAAAACTATGCAAATATGATAGCAGAGATCAATCAAATCATTGTTTTAAAAAAATACTCGTTTAAATCAAGCATGATTCTTGGCGATCACATGGACATATCCAAGTACTTTTCTTGCAAAGTTATGAATTTGTTTATATATTTAATTAATTTAAAACATTAAATGTTATGGATGTGGTTTGTGTTGCTTTCTTCCAGGTTGTTTTCAATACCCCAATCTTATAGAGAGAGAGCCCTTTTTGGAATAGTAGTTAAGGCATCAGGCCAGAAACCTGGAGACTGCGAGTTCTAATCCCATCTTAGGTACAAAGCTAAGTGGATGACCTTGGGCTACTCTCTCTCCCTCAAGTAGAGCCCTTCTTCCCTAGGAAGGAGACAGTGGCAAACCACTTCTGAAAATCTTGGCAAGAACACTACATGGACTGATCCAGACATTTACTAAGAGTCAACACTAACTTGAACACGCGCAAAAAAAAAGTCCAGCTCTGAGATTTTATTGTGGTCTCCTGAGATCCGATTGTGCCTATCTTTTTTGGGATCTCACAAAGTTGCTTAGATGCTTCCACCTAGCTAATCTAACCAGTCCTCATTGCCTCAATAATAAGTAAAATATGATTACAAGTAGTTTTCAGTTGATGAGGGTAATTGGGACCCAAATTTTCATCCATAAGCAATGCGGTCGTAAATGTGATTGCATTGCTTAGCATCAGCAATCCTGGCACTCTCCATTGCTCTTGTTAATCAAATCCAACTGGTTGTTAGGTAAGGACCCACAGGATCCAAGCCATTCTGGCTTGTTTCCTCCCAGCCCTGAGCCTCAGTAAGGTAAGGGACTGTCCTCTCTTGAACTGCCCCACCTTTCTACCTCCCCAACCCACCTCTGCCCTTTTAGCTGCCCTACATAGTGGCCATGGCAATGCAATATTGCTATATAAATATGATCTAAAGCAGGGGTCCCCAACCTATGGGCCGCAGCCCCTAGTAGCCATGGCCTACTGGCCACCAGGCCATGAGACAAGCTGACCCACGCACGCACTCATCCCCACTCATGCTAGCACCCATGGACCTGTTTGCGCATGCATGCAGGGCTAGCAGCAGCAGCTAGCACCTGCGGAAACAGGGCCACTAGTGCACACATGGATTGCATGGACCGTTTGCTCATGCATGCAGGGGTTAGTGGTGGTGGCTATCACCAGTGCGCATGCGCATACAGAGGCCACTAGCCCCATGTGGGTTTTGCAGCTTGTTTGCGCATGCGTGTGGGACTAGCAGCAGTGGTTAGCACCTGTGCGTATGCACAAACGGGGCCACTAGTGCCATGGGAGTTTCACGGCCTGTTTGTGCATGTGCGCGGGGCTAGCAGCAGTGGTTAGCACCTACACGCCTATGCAAATGGGGCCTCTAACTTACATGTGGGTGTGCATGGCCCCATTTCTGCACGCTCATGCATGTGTGTGCAAATTTCCCAGCTGCTCCCTTTCCTTCCAGCATGAAAAGGTTGGTGACCTTTGATCTAAAGCATGACCTATGATCTGTCGTGTTTTAGGTCATATTTATGCAGAGATATTGAAAACTTGAAAGGGTCCATAAATGTTTCGGTATTACTGTATATATGTCCATGTATCTTGCTATTTTCAATTTTATTATTAATTATAAGGACAAAGCTGTACATTGCCACCATATAGCCATACATTATGACCATGGTAAGCCTTCTATCTCAACGCATTTTTGTTTTTTCTTTCTTGTCTAAAAGTTTCTAATTCATTGTTTACAACTAATTTCCCTGAATTTCAAATGTAATTTTGTTCTATCAAAGAGCAATTCATTGCTCTGAATGCTTTCAACAAAATTAATAAATCCTTCATGTATCCACTTAATCATTATATGTGTAAATTGACTAACATTTTACACTATTAATTCCTTCAATTCCCAGGTCAGATTAAGTCCTGACTGTTAGTCAATGTAGGAATGTAGGAAGCTTTTTCCCCCTCCAATAATGGGAGCATGGTTTAATTGAACACAGAATCAAGTCTGGTTGCTTAAGTTGAAGAGCTCATCTTGCAAATAGCAATATGTAATGGTCCACTAAACACAAATCAAAATTGGTAATTTACTAAAAAAAAAGAAGAGCAGTCTTTGCTCAATTGCTTTTGTTTCCACAGGAGCAGCATCCTCATGTTTTTGCTATTATTATTATTAAGGACAGATAGGTGTGTTTAATGTGTAAATTACCTTACTCCCTATGTAAAATAAAATATATCTCGATTTAGTCTGTACAAATACATCTCAGTCCACTTCTGCTTTAAATTTTTGTTAATAATCCTGCATTCCTATTGTTAATTACTGCAAATAATATCCCTGCTTTCCCAGTTCACTCATTGTATTTGTCCATCCCTAGGGATTTCAAAAGCTTCCTCGCTTGTTAGAAATGACGAGTTTATGAGTTTTGAATCAACATGAGACACTAGCATGAAGAATAGTGGTAAAATAAATACTATAGCAACAGCTTTCCACAGTAAAGCTTGCTCATAGAAATATGTCTAATTTCCAGTCTGGCTTCAATTTGCCTTACATCTATGTTACATGGGGCCAATAAGGTCTTCACTTGTGATCCCTAGTATTCTAAGAAAGTGCCCCTGAAAAAGAATCCCTCAACTCATATCATCAAGAAAAGTTCTCTAGTTCTCTACTTCTAATTGCTGGTGCTTACACAATCACAATGGCAC